AGAAGAGGGGGATTGACATTTAGGGACCAGAGTAATGAGAGTATGATTCCAGTATTGCAGAAGCATACATGAATCAAAGAAACTATGGATAGCCTCAATCAAATCAGCTGCTATGATCTCCCAATAATGCTGGTAGAACCTAGCAGTCATCCCATCCTCACCTGGTGACTTATCTGGGTTAAGGCTAAACAGTGAGCTTTTGATCTCCTCAGCTTCAATGGGCATCATAAGCTGCTGGTTCATTTCATCAGTTATGGATGTAGGAATGAGAGGTAACTGCGAGTCACCTCCCCAAGATCCTTCAGAAGCAAAGAGATTTGAGTAGTAATTTGTAATGTGCTCCTCAATTTCATCCTTAGAACTAAAAACCCTGCCCCTATCAGAGACCAGTCGAGAGATAGCATTTTGCCTTCTTCTTTGGATAGTGTAGGCATGAAAAAATTTAGAATTGGTATCCCCTGCCTTTATCCACCGAGACCTTGCTTTCTGGGCCCAAAACCTTTCTTCAAAAGCATAAGCATCATCCAATTCAGCTCCTGTATTTTCCCACTCTTCCCACTGATCAAGTTTGCCCTCTGTTCTAATTCTATCCAGTTTTATGCAGAGATTAGCAATCTTGGCTTGGTTGTGAGTTTTGAATTTGGAGCTCCATTTTAGAAGAGCAAGTCTGGTACATTTCACCTTTTCTTTAAATCTGAAGAATGGAGTACCCAGCTGAGGAGTGCTCCAAGCTTTCTGGACTGCTGATTCCATTCCCTCCATTGTCAACCACCTTCTGTCAAAGAGAAACCTTCTTTTCTTTCTATCATGAGGAACTCCATCATTGAGTATTAAAAGGGAGTGGTCAGAGGCTGTTTTGGAAATATTCAGAATGCTAGCATTAGGATGATTGCAATGCCACTCAAGAGAAGCAAAAGCCCTATCTAGCTTTTCTTCAACAAAACATTCTGCTTCCCTGTTGTTGCCCCAGGTAAACTGATATCCTTCCATTTTGATCTCCTCCATTTCCATGTTCATGATAAAGTTGTTGAAGCTATCAAAGGATCTAGGTTGCCTGTTTCTACTCCCTTGCTTATCCTCCATAGAGCATATTGCATTCCAATCCCCAATAATGTACCAATTATCACCCCAAGAGGGTTTGTCTTCCTCTAACTCTCTCCATTGGGTCTCTCTAGTAGCTCTGTCAGCACTCATGTATACAGAGATACCCCATCCCTGGTCCACTTCTTTCAAAGAGTAATGAACAGCAATGTAAAACTCCTTAGCAATCAGCTGAGTAATCTCCACATCCTGGTGCCACAAAAGAAGAAGTCCCCCACTCAATCCCCTGGGTTCAACTATAGCATGTCTATCTTCAAAGCCAAGTTTTTTGCTGACTGACTTAACAAAAGCAAGAGTATTTTTAGTTTCAGATAAGACGAAGAACTTTGGGTGGTGAGTCCTAAAAGACTCTTTGATTTGGGAAACTGTAGAGGGCCCACACAGCCCTTTACAGTTCCACACCGCAGCTAACATTGGGGGTTTGGGTGCCACTCTAGGCTGGCATCCCCCACCTTGTCAAGGACCACTTTGATTTTCTTGCCTGGAGCTTTCACAATTAGTTGGTCTTCTTCTTCTACAACAATGTCTACTTGTTCTGCTCTGTTCCTTTTATTGCTTGAGTTAGGAACAGTAACTATCTCAAGCTCTCCTTGCCTTTGGAGCCTACCTTCTTTTGATGAGGATCTTCTCCATTTAGGGACTTTGGCTATTACCAGCTCCTTGGAAGTTTCCTTTCTTTGCTCTGGGTTGGTAGAAGGTGGGAATTCAATCTCCATTAGTCTGACTCCATCCTGAGCTGAGGGTTTTGATGTAACTAGTTCAAGGGATTGAGAGTGAATGATTGCTGCTTTATCTGAGGGAGTGATGGAAGGAGAAGAGGTTGATGCTTGCTGCCCTGAAGTAGATCCTACTGTGTCTTGTTGATGAGTATTAGTAAGGAGACCCTGCATTGGAGCCTCTATTGGGCTACCTGGCTGCTGATGAGAAGAGCTTGTGTGCTGAGTTTTGCCAGCCTCATCCATTGGAGTTTCTCTAGATGGGGAGTGTCTAGAGCTAGAGTTGTTATGCGCAGGCGAAGATTGGCCATCATCTGCTTTGATTCACTCACCATATTACCCATCTCTCAGTGTTTTATTCCTGATGTCTTCAATTCATTTGCAACAAATTCTGTCAAGATGCCCAATTATACCACAGTAATAGCATAAATTAACTATTTTTCATACTTGAACCCCACTTTGACTATATCATCACCTAACCAAATATTAGCACATCTGGGTAGAGGTTCATTGATATTAACCGTCACCAAGAGTCTGAGAATCTTACCCCCATGGTTCCCAGCATTAACAACTACCACATTATTAACCTGAGGGAAGACGTTCCCAATTTTGAGACCAACTTCTGAACTAAGTCAGTCTAAAGGAAGATTGATTACCTGAGCCCATAAGTTAAGTTCCTGGAAACCTTTATGCTTGCGGGTAAGACCGGATTCCCATTCCCGAAGTATGAGATACTGGTTCTCGAATATCCATGTGCCGCTCGCCACCTTTTTCATATCCTCTCTGTTTTTGAATAGGAATTGAAAGAAATTGTGCCCCAGCTCTTTAACCTCCATTGGTTGATGAAGTTTCCAAATGTTGCTCATAGTTCTCTTAATACCTACCCATCTTGCTTTTCTATCTCCAATGACCATCACAAATAAGCTACGATTGCATTCGTCTGCACTGAGTCTGATATCATCTTGAGCGATATCCATAATTGAATTTTCCCTATCTGAGAATGAAAAACCTTGCAGCCTTGCTGCCAGATCCTCATCCCGTCCCACACAATCTTTATCAGCCATTAAGCTTAGCTTGGATCACTGACCCACTGAAAATCTCTTGGAGCAATCGAAAGAAATCGTAAAACGGTAACCGGTCCCACAGGGGAGAATCGCCGGAGTCGCTCTCACAGGAGAGAATCTTATGCTCTGTCTTTGTCAATTTTGTGTTTATAACGAATTTCTTAATACAACGAAATATATATATATATATATTATTTATTTATTATTCAATTTATTATTTTATTATTTTATTTGTATTTATTATTATTATTATATCATTTTTATTTTTTAGTTTATTTTATTTTTTGTTGATGTGTCTTCAATATTTATTATCTATTTATTTTTGGATTATTTTATTTTATTTTTATTTATTTATGTTATCTAGGTGTAGATGTGTACTTGGAAAAAAAAGATGTCATATCACGCCACGTAAATAACACGCAGGAAATTAAGGAAAGTTAAAATGTCACGTCATTATCTTATCATGCCACGTCAACATTTTATCCAGACTGGGTAATTAATGCATCTTATTAGGCCAAATTGACAACTAAATGTATCGTTTCCGTTATAAACAACATAATGTCTCGTTTCCTGACAATGTTCAACTTGGTGTATCTTTTCTGAAATTTTGCCGATCATTTTATGATGCCATACACAATTCATCAACTAATGGATACCTTCGCAAGCAGGTTACAAATAAATTCTATAAGAGATGGAAGAAAGCAGATAATTTGTTTTCAAGTAGTTTCCTCAAGTTGTTAAGGAGGCCTATGATCTAATTTTGTAATATTTATGTTAAAAATTGTTTATGAGGAAAAATGTCAAATTCCAATCTTTTTCAGCCCATAATAATTCTTTTTATTGAACTCTATCTTCCCTTACAATTTCAAATATCAATCAAGTACAACAAGTAACTATCGTTAAAAAAATCACATTTACATAACATATTCATTACATAATCAAACACGCCGACAGATTTATTCGCATTTCACCAACCATGCCCTCTAGAAATAAATATCACCAAACACCACTATAAATGAACTAAGAAAATTTTCAAACTAAAAATGTAAACTCCTAAGTTGAATTAAGTTCTAAAATTATATTCTACTTTTTCCCCCATTAGAATAAAAAATAATGCCTAATTTTTTTCTCAAAGGGAAAAAAAAAAAAGAAGAAATGAAGATTAAGAATAGAATGAAAAGTATGTCCATTGACCATAGGAATAGTATCTTTTTGACTGAGTCAAATTGTTAGACGTAAACAATGATGCCATTATCGATACCACACGTACTCGTCAAGTTCCAACAGTCCAATAATACACTTAACAATGTGATTAGTTATTGTTTAAAACAATTAGAATGTGATTAAGTATACTTAGCTGTCTTCTCTTTGACCCATGTTTTCTTTTGAACTTAATTATTATTAATATAATCTCCATTTTAGCAAGCATACAAGGATTAGGCTGCTGATCAACTGAATCTAACCAAGAAATTCTTTATAGTATTAGTTTATCTTTTACAATATCAAATTAAGTCGTTTCGCTAATATGAACCCGATTATTATAAGATGATTACATTCAAATGAGATTATACAAGCAAAATAAAAACTAATAATTTCTGTGTATTCAGTTGAATGATCCACTAATTAAGTGAAAGGTTGACTAAGCATCTGTTGTTTGAGCGTTTGACTTTATTATATTTTAGATCTTTAATAATTTGAAAGGAAGTCGTAAGTCAATGTGCTTCTAGAGGACGACAATAGTTTTTGACTTCTTTTTTAACAAAAAATGTTTGACATGAATAAACATGTTACTAAAATTATAACACTGAAAAAATTTGGGTAGACTTATGAACTAAAGAGGGACCAAGTCTGTTGGTATATGGTGGAACTCTTCAAACTCTTATGTAAAGTCAACCAATGCATTTTCACAAACGGGCTGGGTATCCATCATCAATTTTGTGAAATGAATATACAGGACAAGAACACCCCTCCCCACACACAAGCAGCCATCTGCACTATCTTCATGGGAATCACACCTCTTACTTCCTCTACTTACTTGGGTCTACCTCTTGGAATTGAAAATTCAAAATTAGCAACTTTTAATTTTGTTCAAGACTCAGTAAAAAAAATGAATAGGGTAATGGAAGAACAGATACCTTGTATCTCTCTTGCAAGTAAGGAAGTGCTACTAAAGGCTGTGTTAGGGGCTCTCCCCACCTACATTATGTCCTGTTTTATGATTCCACAAACTCAACTCAAGAAGATATCAAGCATCATTGCTAAATTCTAGTGGAGCAGCAAAGACCAGGACCAAAACATAATTCATTGGAAATCTTGGGAGTCCATAACACTACCTAAGGAGATTGGAGGTCTTGGATTTAAAGATTTACAAACTTTCAATAAAGCTCTTATTTTCAAACAACTTTGGAGATTGTTGTCTCAGCCAAACTTATTGGTGAGCAGGGTTCTTAAGGGACTCTACTACCCTAAAGAATCCTTCTTCAGAGTAAAACAGAAAAGGAACTGTTCTTGGCTTTGGGGAAGCTTGATGAAACTTAGAGACTCTTTTCACTCAGGCTTGAAGTTTGAAGTTAAAAATTGGCTCTCAATCAAAATCTGGGACCTACCGTGGGTCCCAAGACTTCCAAGACTCACTCTCACTGACAGAAACCCTTCAAGCTCTCACATAACATGGGTCAAGGAATTAATGGATGATACTGGAAGAAGATGGAATAGGGGACTTATTGAAACTACTTTCCCTTAGGCAGAAACAAAGGCTATTCTAAAGATAACAAACATTGACCCTCTTCAATCAGACAGGATTAGATGGGACCGGGACAAAAAAGGAGTGCTCACTATGGCTTCCACCTACTCAAAACTCATAGCTCAGAAGTGGAAGAAAATGGATTTAGCAGAGTCAAGTACAAATCAACAGGAGTTAAAACAAGATAGAAGAAGAAGTTGGAGAATGCATGCCAAAGGAAAACTTATGCACTTCCTGTAGAAACGAATCAACAATATCCTCCCTGTCCTTTCTAATCTCAATACTAGAGGAGTTTAGGTTGACCAGATTTGCAAAATATGTGGAGAGGCACCAGAAAGGCATAAACTCAAGAACACCTCTTCTTCCATTGTAAGAGGGCTCAACTTATTTGGAAACTGGCTCCAGTTTCTTGAGAAGCCCTACAGATCAATACTGATTGCTTCAAGAACTAGTGAACCAAAATTTCCTCTTTGTCTTCTAGCCCTATTGTTGAAGAATAAATCCAGTTGTCAATCTATATTCTTTGGTTGATCTAGAAAACCCGAAATCTTTGGGTCTTCCAAAACACTTTAAGGCCAGAAGCAGCAACAGTGGAGTCAATCCTCAGTGATTGGCTTGAGTATGTTAGATTAGGAGTAAGATAGTTTCAGTGTGTTTTCTTTAGCTGTTTTTGTTAGTAAGTTAGGTTCCTTGTTGGGTCAGTGGCTTGTTAATTTTGTTGCCTCTCTTCTGTTGGAGTTTGGAGGCTGGGTGTTTTGGAATTGAAACCAGGTACTTAGCTTGTGTCTTTGCCGACTTCAATCCCAAACACTTTCTTTTGGATAGTGCAAGCTGTAGCTCTTCAACTGTTGGTTGTACATTAGGCTGTTGGGGCCTTAACATTGTATATTTTACTTGTTAATACATCCTGTCGTTTCAGGAAAAAAAAAAAAAAATCGTGAACTAGCTAACTGGTACAATCAACCTTCTTACACACATTGTGAAGGAGTTAAAGAACTCAACAATAGGTCACATCTGAGCTTACACACTAATATAGCATCTAGAGTAGCTCGATGAACCGGCTAGAGCGGTTAGCTCAGTCGTTGCCAGTTCAATGGAGCCCAACCCATCTTCTATACATTTATTTGTCTGGGAGCTCTCTTAGGTATCTCAGGGCATAGGATGACACAACTTAGACAACTTAGACAATTCATGACCTTGATAGGACTTTCGGTAAGTAGGTAGGTCAGACCTTTGACCACAAGTTCTGTGAGTCGTGCAATTAGAGGGGAGAGAATCATTCATCGATGAAAAATGTATATTGTTAAGGATCTAAGATTCAAGAGGCGTCCAAGTTAGGAAAGAAAATACAGGAGAATATCTTTCCTAACTAGAACTCTCTTCGTCATCAAGGTACCATAAGAGCATCTCCAATGCTCAAATGTTGTGGTAAATTACATTCCACATCAACACATTTGGCAATGTCACAACTTTTCATCCTTCAATGTAGAATGTGATCACAAATATTATGGTGATGTGGACATAATTAATGCCCATAATGTAGAGAATAATGTGGTTCATCCACATTGTCCTCCATACTCTAGTTAGTCAATGAAGAGAAGAGAGAGAATTATTCTTACCAACTCCAAACTATTTAATTATTTAATTAATTTTGTTGCTACATATTATAAAATTTTAGTATTTAGTAAGTAGATAATATTGTAGTTAGACTACATTGTGCATTGGAGATAATTATTCAATTTAGTAATTGTACACTTAACATTTTTCCTCCATGGTTCATAATCAATATAATATATTGACATTTGTAAAAATGTATTATATAACAACATTAGAGCATTGGAGATGCTCTAAGTATATAAGGGTAACCGGGTTATCTACTTTAGACATTACATACACATATCATTATAATTTACAGTACTCTCTCAGGCATATACTAACTTGAGCATCAGAGTGTCTACGTCGAGACCCCTCTCGGTGAATTGCAGGTCATCAGAGCTCCGAGATGATGGGAGTATGTGAAGATCGTGCGTTGAACTCGACTGAAGACACACAATCTAAAAGGAGAAGCAAACAAAACTCCTAACACAGGAGATTGAAACACCCTCAACATGAGAAACAAAACCAACTCGATGATAGCACCCTGAGTACTCCAACCGCGTTGCACGTTACTCGACACGAGAAACCACTTCCACCCTGATATAATATGAGCTATTTAAAAATATAAGTCCCTCAGTAAGCGATAATAAAACAAAACCCATGAAAGAAAGCACAAAAGTGAAGAAATAAAAATGCATAACACACAATGAAANACTAAAGACAACCACACGCAAGTTGAAACCCGAACCAAGGCCTTAAAATCAAAGAATTCCAAAACTCTCGATATCTAACATGCTCCCAGCTAAACAAATCTAGAAGCACATTATCGCCGACATGAAAAGGAAGAGTTGTTCCCGCTTGTCGACCATCTCCCCAGTTGTAGCAACAATTTCATAATACCCAATCCCCGATGAGAGGAAGAAGCCGGAGAAGCCTCTCTCCGGAGCAAGAATCACCCATCCGCACCAAACTGAGTAGCAAGGATCAACAATCTTTGGGGAAATGCCATCTCGGATAGCTGCAGATGGCGACGTCTCGACCGAAGGAGAAGAATACAGACAGGACGGAGGCTGACCTAAATTTCTATAAATTCATAGACCTGATTTTAATTATTGAAGAGAGAGAAGAGAGAATATTAGTAGCTTTTCAAAGAGACAGAGAATAAAATGTATTTGAAGCACAAATAATAGTGCTCTTAGTTAAAAAAAAATGATTTTGTACTGATTTTATAGTTTCATATTTCGTAGATAAAAAGCTTATAACAATATTGAAATCATTTAATAATGAATTTTAACTTAATTCTTCTATGTAAGAAATGAGCTATAATGTAGAATATTGTGTAGCTGAAAGTTAGCTGATTTCGAAAACAATTAAGTTTGGTCCGCTCAGGCCAATCGAGCACTGGGGTAGTAGGACTCGCTTGAACTGAGCACTTAGGTTGGAGCACTCGACGAGACCTTGGATGAACTCGCCAGGGACAAGTATGGGAGCTAAGTATGCTTGGAGATGCAGTTTTCTCACCAGGCATTACATGCATGCTCTACTGGGCGTGCTTCTAAAAGAGTCTCGCATGAGTGGGCGCGAAGCCCAGTGGGTCCTCAAGAGTGTGTGCGACTTCCAACAAGTCCTCATGTCATGAGCTGGAATGCACCTGCTGGGCTTAGTTCAGTTCAAGTTCACTTTTTCACTCCGAACGTACTTCGAAAGGTGTCATTTTTTGTGTGCCCTAACTTTGTTTTACCTTTTACCTTTCCTTTTCTTTATTAAGTTAACTTTTGCAACTTGCATTCCATATATTTCTAACTTATGCAGCCTAACCGTAGGACGGATTGGCGTATTGCATGTTATAAACAAAATAATATAATTATATTGATAAATATAATACTTTTGTTTATATTTTTTTGCATCCACATTTGACTACAAAATCATCTGTTTTTATTGAAAAATATAACAGCCTAGCAGTAAGTTTCATCTAGCTAATTACATTATTGACGTAGCGAAAGCGTAACAAAAGGAATAAAACAAGATAAAGACTCTCAAATATCTTTATTAATCAAATTCAACCAATTCAAATGCAACAAAATAACAGTCTTTAAATAGAGTTCCTAGCCCTCATCTTGTTTAACAAGTAAAGGATAATTAAGTATCTTTTCTACCAAATAAAGTCTACAATAGTTAAATAACTTTACTAACAATTTTAGGATTAAAATGCCAACAATAAAGAAAAAGAATAAATAATTAAAGTAAAAATTCCAAAATTCATACATGTCCTAATCTTCATCATTCTCTCCCTTATGGATTCGCCCTCGAATTTGGCACAATCTCGTCTCTACAGAATATCGGCCCAACCTCTTCCATTGAACGCCCAACTGAACTAGAGCATTCATCCTTTTAATTTTGATACCAAGAACATATTCCATCACAATGGGGTTGTGTATTCCTAATATATGGTTGAAACTTGCACATAATACATGTTGATGAAATTGTTAGCAAAATACCTAGCGTTAGCCGCTTCCTTGGTATAGACAATTCGTCGTCATAAAAAAGAGGCAAACCCTCATATTTGGTCGATTTCTTGTCATAAAAAAGAGGCAGACTGACCTATTCGGGTGACCCCTCGTCATAAAAAAGAAGCAGATCCTCATTTGCGTTTGATCGCTCATCATCAAGAAGCGGACCCTCATATTTGATCGACCCCTTATCATTCAAGAACTCGGCGCCTTTCAAGCCATCGGAGAATTCTGAGATCCTGACCTTGAAAGAAGCCTCCTCTCGCCGATCGTCGACAAAGTAGTCCTCGTCCAGTGGCGCCATATTACCAAAAGGACGTACTTTGGATATGGTGACGTCAAATTCACTACCGCCGACAAACGATTGAGCTCGGGAGCCCTTGTGCCCCAACTGCGTCCACCGCTCATTTACCCACGGCCTCCACTTCCTCTGTCCGGCTCACGGTTCGTTCACTTGCTATGAAAAAGCAGTCATAGAGTCAACCGGATATCCTCGAGCCCAAAGGCTACATTGGGGCTTGGTTGGCTATAGCCCTGCTGAATTCATTTCTTTTTTTTTTTTTTGTTTAAAATCAAGAAATATACGAAAGAATCATTTCTTTTTATCAATACTCAAATTGCCAAGGTATATCAAAAAATACTTATATCTTACTTTTATTTTGATTTAACCAAATTAAAATTGAAATATTTTCTTACCGATTAGTTGTTTTGATTTAACGAAATTAAAATTGAAATATTTTCTTACCCATTAGCACATCTTTTTAATCTCAATTAAAAGAGTTCACTTTATTAACAAATTTTTTAATTTTATTTTCATTAACGATAATCAGAAAGAAAACTTAATCATTATTAACAGCTAATATAAATATTTTCATTACTCCCGAGTGTGAATTGATTATCCTGTTGGGATCACATACTCGGGTATTATCCTTTTGGGATCTTTTCGTAGTTTTTGTAGTGGTGTTTCTTTTCTAGCGTTGCAAGCTGTGGCTTTTGGCCGAGTATTCTAGCTTTGCTATCTAGGTGGTCTCTGGACTGTCTATTGGGTTCTATTAGGAATGTCGACAATGTGCACATTCAAATCTATTAAATAATAAATCCTAACGCAGCGGAATCTATAGTTAGGATTAGGACTTACAGTTTAAAATTTTTGTCGACTCAGACACGTTTCTGATTTTCATTGATGGAGATCGTCCGTCTACCACAACCTAATCGGTTGAATGGTTTGGGCTTTGTCAACTCTAGTCGAGTGTTGAATCATGAACGGATCGCCTCCGACCTTTGGTATATGAACCGAACTCTCCGGACAGCTCGAAAACCATCTTGGGCACGAACTGGGGTAACTGGGTCAAGCCGAACCAGGTCGGGCCAGTCTGGACGGGGTCGGATCGGGTCTGGGCCGGACTGGGCTGGTTCGGGCCGAGTCTGGTCGCTGGGCACAGGAACAGGTTCGCTGGTCGAGGTCTGCCCGCACAGAGTCGCGGGTGCATGTGCACGGGCTGCT